ATAGCGTGAACTAAAGGGGCATTGTGTAATCTGCAGTTCTCTACATCTTCTGTCTTCTTCTCCTATGTTTTTCCCTTTGCTTTTTCCTATCCATTTGTTCAGGTTTTCCAACTCCTGACATGAAGTCTCCATCTCCATATTTTTTTCCCCACATCTGCTCTTGCTCTCATGGCCTCTGACTATCAACAATAATAATAATAAAAAAATTACAAAATGAAAGAATGGACTTTACCCAGACACAAATTTTAAATACATTTTACATCTTGCTCAGGGAGATGGTGGAGTCACTGACCCTGGAGGGGTTCAAGGAACATTTGGATTTTATGTTGAGGGACATGGTTTAGTGAGAACCATTGGTGATAGGTGGATGGTTGGACTGGATGATCTTGAAGGTCTTTTCCAACCTTGGTGATTCTGTCATCTATTCTTTCTAATTCTGCTGAAAGAGGGCAGACTCAAGTTATTAAACTAAAGCATATGCATTTTTGTAAGTCTGTTTTGTAAGTCTTTTGTACTGATTATCATTCCACCTTGCTGAGTTTTGGATGTTTCATAGCAAGTATTCCAGCTGATCTTTAAGATCAAACCACTCTGCATACTATAATATTTTCAGATTTTACTGCCCTTTGTCAATAGATGTGACTTACTCTGTTACGCTATCTTCCTTTTCCCAGTTTGTTTTTTAGTATATGTACATTCTCATTTCTCCGGAATTCAGCAAGATCTGGAAGATATTGTTGTAAGACCCTGACTTAACTTTGCCTTTGCAGTGTTACTGCTTTGTATTAATCAGTAAAGACAGACATTATATAAATCTAGAGGTAGAATTCTATTCTGGATGTATATTAGTCAACTCAAAAACTTTTATGGAGATCAGAAAATAGCCCGCATCCATTCTGGATGCTATATTCAGAATGATTTTATTGCAAGAAAGAGTAATAATAATTCTTTCTTCTTTTCTCCTTTAAAAAAATGTTAATCAAGTAATCAGCTATGACTTTGAACTTACAAAAAAAAAAAAAAAAAAAGACTGAACATGAAGAGATTTAGTGAATGTCATTACAGTGGAACTTCTAGTTCTCTGCTTTTTTAAAAAACATTTTTTTTTTTTTTAATTTTTCATTAGAATACTTTGTTTAGCTGACCCAAGAAACCATGAGCCTATATCTAAGCCTACCAAACACACAGATTAACAGCCACTGCTAATACTGGTACTATTTTTCCCTGGATGTCTTTAGAATATATTATTCATACGATTAAGTAATAGTATTTGTCTTCCAAAACCATTGATAGAATTTATTTGTAAAAAATCACCCTAATTTTGAACATTTTTATCTAAAGTCAAGATGTATTTACAGTATATCAAAAATCTGCTTGGACCTGCCGTAGGAAAAGCAGAAGTGATTTTTGAGATCCCTTATTTCCCTCTGTGCCTAAGTGGTATCCCTAGATCATTCCTCACAGACACCTACCTAGGTTGTTCCTAGAAATCTACAGCAGAAATTCTACAGGGTTTTCTACTCTGATGCTGAGCTGTCCTTGCCTGAGAACAATTCACTTCACTCTAATTTCCACCAATTGTTCAGTGTTCTAATTCAAGCGCACAGGGAGAATAGTGCATTCTCTTCCTCTCTGTAGTCCATTCACATAGGAGGTACTTTTTCTAGATAACTAGCAACTTAATGATGATGCAGGAAATCTCTGGCATTAGATAATACATTGATTTTGATTGTATACTTCTATTGCCCTCTACTGGGTAGAAATATGAGATTAAGGTATGATTAATAGCACATCCAGTATGTACTTACATGCTATTGCAGAGGTTCCAAAGATCAGTCTTAGCCAGTATTGCACAACAGAAGAACTGTTATTTCTCCTCTTAGTTGTAATGGGATATTGAGAAGAGATGAATCTAGAACTGTTATGTGCATAATTTATCTTGTTGCTGTTAACCTAAGAGTAATCTGTGTTAAGAAGAGAGCCATTGTTAAATTTCCATTACAGCCATTTAATCGTGTGTTTGATCAACACCTTATTTTGAAGCCACTGTTTTTATCAGGCACAAAAAAAAAAAAAAAGAAAAGTGCTAAGGGTATTTACAGTACTCTTTGTAATGTGCATCACTGGTAGCTGGGCATTTACTTGGTGCAAGCGGAGAACCATTTGCTTCAGAAGATTGACCCCGTTTACTAAAACAAAGACAAAAACTCTTTCCAAACCAACATCACTTGATACCTTGACCTACAGAAAGCTCTCCCCAGAAGGAAAAAATATTTCTGTATTTGAACAAAGACACACTCATGGTAATTACATTGCCCCCCCCCCCCCCCCCGAAATTGGTTTTCAGGGTTTTTTTTTTTTTTTTTTTTTTTTTTTGAGTGTTTGCTTTTAGTTGCATAGAGCCACTTACTAATCAGCTTGCTGAAGGCATGAAAGACTAGTGGCAAAATAATTAAATGTGTGCAGCCCATGGAAGTAGTTTCTTTAAAAACATTATCTGAAATACATCCTGAGCTGGTAGAGAACTTCATAGAGCAATAATAATTAGATCTGGAAATGCATATTAAGCCTTTTTGTCTGTCCTCTGTGAACACATGACTGTTTCCTGTGCTGGACTTCAGGATATTTAATTTAGATACATTTTTAGTGGCTCTGTAAGTACATAAAAACAAATTCATTTTAACCACACAAAACTGCAGCTCATCCTCTTTACTAATTTTTATGATAAGACAATTGCTTTCTTAGCTAACTGAAATACAAAATAAAAAAACAAACACTTATGTTCCCTGCTTTGCTATTCCTTGATGTCCAAAAAGACTGGATGCAGAGAGGCTGAGCTACAGAGCACATTCAGTTTTATCGGAAATACTTCCATAGCCTCCAACAGCTGCACATGTGCAAAACCAAGCAGGGGACAAAGGTATCTGAGCAGACAGAATTCACATGGAATAGTCTTTATTGGTGATGACAGTGTGTAAAGTGGAAATAATCTAGCATAAACCTGAACTCTCAGGTTGAGTGAGGCAGGGCTGGTAGCCATAGAAAGCATCTTACTCAAGAATTTAGGCCTACAACGTGGAAATAATTGAAGTAATCTTAACAGCATTATCAGGATATTTTTCAAACTACCTCTTCCCTATAATATAGAACAGAATAGCTAGACAGGATATTCAAAGATCTATTCCAACTTCCTGACTTCTTGAGGACTAACCAGAAGTTAAATATATTATTAATGTCATTACTCAAATACCTCTTAAACACTGACAGCCATGGGACATCAACCACCTCTCTAGGAAGCCTGTGTTCAAACACCCTCACAGCAAAGAAGTTTTTCCTAATAAAAAGTCTGAACTTCCTCTGGTACAGTTTTGCACTGTTTCCAAACATCAAGCCAGATTCCCAGTGAAAGAGATAAACAGAATATGAGTACAGATGATGGAACGCACAAGTCCTGGATCCCTGTTTCATGGAAGAGTCCAGCTTGAAAACTGAGTGGCTTGCCAGTTTACCTGGAATAACCCAGGCACCACACAGAGAGACTTTTCCATGAAACTGTCTTTCTCTGAAAGACATCCCTCTATTGGGACCTGAGGGTCTAATAGCAGTGACCCCAGCATTATGTTTACCCAAGCAAAGCTACTTCCTAGCACAGAATAATTTTTTAGCCACAGCTATTTCAGTAGCCGAGTTAAGCTTGTTTCCCGTCATTGAAATTAAAAAAAAAAAGTCTGAGAAGCCTTAAGTTGTCTTGGAACATTATTAGAGAATAATAAAAAAAAAAAAAAAGCAGGAATTTGTTCCTTTGTTACGCCTGAGCAGACTGAAATTCATCAATTTCCTTTACCTGCACTTCCAAACGTTAACACAAGACGGCAATAAAACACTGCAGTTCTTCATCGGTCTGAAAGCAATGCTCGTTTCCGACGTTCTACTAAAAAGACGGATCGCACAAATTGTCACGAGCAAAAGATGACAGGAGTTAAACTGTTACTCGCTGCATCACGTTCTTCTCATTTCAGTTTATGCATGCATCTCTCAACGTGTCACTGTGTTTGGGAGGATGAGTTTTCCACATAGAACACTGTTAAAAACCCAGATGGAGACATCTACAGATTTGGTCCTGCCTCTCCATGTTTGACAGAACAGAAATAATAAATAAATAATAACAGATAATTCAGTCATGAAGGAAAAGAAACGGGCTGTTGCCCTGGAAAACAAAACAAAAAACAACAACAACAAAAACAATATTATGGCTGTGGGGACTGGAAAAGGCACAAATAAAGTGGAATCTTTTCTTTAATGCAATAAAGAGGTTAGATTAAATATCCAGAAGTGAAGCAAGAACAGGCATATGCCAGTCTTAGACTCTCAGGATTATTTTGAAATAATACGAAACTGCATGAGAATGTGGTTTTGAGATACTAATTTCACCAGGAAGCATATATTCATTCAAAGCCTTATGTTATAATGCTCATGACAAGAGTCATAGCAAGAAGGAAGAAAAAGAACGGGTCTGCATGAGGAATAAGGAATAAACATAATAAAATAACAAAGAATAAAACCAGTTGTAGTGCTTGATTACATTTTGCATTTGCTTTACCTTTGCACAGAAGAGGTATAAAAGTGGGTCTTTGTTTTGGTGGCCAGTTTTCAGTGCTAGCAGCTCAAGGGGCAGCAGTTGCCAATGAGATCACACCAGAACAACCCCATTAACACTGACAAGCCTGCAGAAAGCATTTCAGATATATAGAGGGCAAGCATAGCTTGATTAGTTCTGAAGGAAAAAAAAAAGCGGGAATAAAAGCCCAGCTTGTGCCTTCCTGCCAAGCTAATGCTCAAGAGATATAGGGATGAAGTCATTTCCATCCTCTATTTCATGTATTCAGTCCATATTGACAAAGAAACTTTGAAACAAGTTTGCCTCACAATGCTTGAAGACAGGAAAATACTCTTATTGCACCAGGTATGATCCATGGTTGTTTTTTGTTTTTTTTTTTTTCTTCTGGGAAGTGTCTTCATAAAAGGTAACCCATCACACACTGTTTAACAGGAAAAGAGGTTTAAATAAATAGGAGCTTTCAGTAGCACTTAGTTCAACATCTTTCAAGACAGCGTGCAGTAGTGTGCTTTCCTCCAGAAGACTTATGCAGATAGTAAGTTGGAGAAATCCAGACTTAATTGTATATAGTCATAACGTATTATACAAAATTCAGAACTTCATTTTGTCCATTCCTCTACAGGAATAATTACTAGGAAACCCTCTCAACTAAAAAATGCTTTACTTCAAAGTTGTCTTACAACATGCGCCATCATTAAGAAAAAAAGTTATTCCAACCACTTGTATGTGTTGTGCTTAACATATTTGAACTATATAAATTTAGAGAATGTGTTGAACTGTGGGACTTAATTCTGATAAGGAACTTTGTTCTGGTACTGCACCATTAAATCTGACAAAAATTGCTGTTCAACTCAATAGGAATAGAAATGAGGTTTCTGTAATTCGAACAGGGAAATGCAGTATTCAGAAAAATAATAAGTCTAAGAAATAAGTCTGAATTGACTTGATCACATTTCGGCCTTGAAAACTTAAATGCTGGAAGTAGTTTCTGGTGATACTCAACAATTGTCAGCTTTTCTATATTCTGATGTCTAGCAATTGAAGAGTACATACAGTTTTCCCTCTGCAAAAGCCTACAATAATCAAAAACTCCAAATTGCAAATATATAACTATAAAATATAAATATGTAGATATCAAGCTACTTTAAAGAAAAAAAGCCACACTTTAAATGTTTGTCTCCTAGAGATACTTACCAGGCAATAAACATTACAGCATTTTAATTATCCACACAGGATTACATGGAGGAAGACCCTCGAAGTACAACATGTTCATACTATCTGGATCAACATTATTCTTACAGCCTGAAAAAGACATTTGGCTATGATTGAAGAGTTAATACACTCATTCTTTTAGAAAGATATTTCTTGACTATATTACCTTTTATAAAGATCAGTGGTGTTTGCCTTGTCTTTGAACTTTCTAGTTTGAAATTGATACTGCAAAATACTGTTTAATGCTTTTATCTCATCAGTAGATTCTGGCAGAAAAACTACCTTGTGATTTCATTGAAGACCACTGGGGAAATTGGGAGCCGAAGGACAGTTCTTTCTAAAATATATAGCTGAAAAATAAAGAGACAGAAGGTTAAAAGAAAACGTGAAATTACCTTAATAGACATAATTATCCTCATCTTGAGATCACTGTGAATGCCCCTCTCACACCAACTCAAACAAATTAAGTGATTGAATTAAGTCTGGAGAGCCTATAATCTAGAAAATTGCAAGTAGACCTGTCTAGATTAGAAGTTGAGAAGAATTCCACAGATCTGTAGGAAGTGGATGGGAACTCTAGCAGTCATCTAGTTCAGCCCACCTGCCAGAGCAGGCTCCCTAGACCAGGTTGCATAGGTAGGCATCCAGATAATTTGAGACATTATTTGAGACATTTGAGACATGATTGCTCTGCAAGGCTAGTTATAAAGAGAAGATAAATTTAAGAGTGTAGAATAGTCCTTAGAATATCTGAAATACCTCCCTATTCTCCATGAGAATCCAGTGTAAAATGATTCTTTCAGGAAGCTTCATCTCATTAAGGTGGATAAAAAGTATAGGGATTTGAGACTTCCTTTCCTGCACTCAAACTAATTAGTCAGTTAAATCAGCTTATTTACTCAAAGCCCAGTCTTTGGCTACAGCCTGGTGGCAGAGTAAGAAGTCCCTGCTGGATTTGTGAGGAGCTGATGAAGGCTTTACAGACAGTGGACATATGTTGCACAGTCTTGCCAAGGCACATCACAACTTAAGAGCATTATTATGTTGCACTTCTTACCATTCTGCTTCAGTGGATAAACAAAAATCTAGCAGAGGATATTTTTGTTCAAAAAAAAAAAAAATCTTTCTTACTCCTACAGAAGATACAAATGAGATTTTGTTGTGAGCTCTCAAAACACGTCAAAAATTATACATAGATGACAGAGGCATGCCAATAATTTTTTATCTGCATTCGTAACAATGCTTCCTGCATTTGCTTCCTATGAATTTGGTCTTTTGAGATACATTATTTCTAGTGTTTCTTTCACTGACACATCAGGAGTTGTTAATCATAAGCACCCTCTTGCTTCTGTCTCATACAGCCATGAGCAACTTCAGGATGGAATGTTTTAAAGTATTTCTGGAGGCCGCCTTAGAAAAAGATTTTAATTAAGCCAGAAGTATAAAATAGTCAAAGCAGCTTATCTTTGTTTAGCACTGAGTGTACAATATAAGAAGGAAGAGATAGCTAAGAAGTTAGAGGCTGTAAAATGACTCCCAGTTTATCTTTGGAATGAGATTATTTTCTGAATTACAGACTCAGAATATCACACGTAAGAATAAACAATATCACTGCTAAATGAAAGAACAGAGTTAGAAAACTCCGAAATAGTTTGCCCTATGTAGTAAAGACTACCTCAGAGGTATACAGTGACATTGCAACTGATCCTTCAGATCAGACATGAAAGAGAAAAGTAGTAACAGCTCTGTTTTCACAGATCTTTTCATCACAAGGTGGATGCTTCTTATTTTATTTTCCCCAAAGACAGTCTCAGATTTTATGATGCAAGATAAAAGCTCCATACATACAAAATTCACTATCCTCAGTTTTAGAAGAGCACAGAAGAGAATGGCACAGGGCCCATGCTTTGAAACTCTGTAAAGGCATGAATAAGACTATAAAACATAAAAAGAAAAGCAGAAGGAAGCTAAAGAGCAGATTTCTGAGATGCATGCTTGAGAATTTGCAATTTTGCAATTGCTCACTAGGCAAAATAAAGCATTAGAAACAGAATTAGCAAACGAGATTTGCTCATTAACAAGATGCGTGAGAAGAATACAGAATCATCTTACGGGAAGATACCAAGAAAAGGAATAATAATTAAAATTTAAAAGAAATATTGTTTGTCACATTCTCTCTTTAGGTTGGCTTTTGAAACATTTGTTGAGAGAGATTCTGAAGAAGTTTTAGTGGCAACTCTGTGTGTTCTTCAGAGAGCAGAGATGCTCCAGTATTACTAGCCAGGTTACTTGAAATGGGTTCAAGACTGATGCTTATCCAAAGCAGAACACAATATTTCCTTACTTCTGTATAAATAGGCATACATACAGGATTAAGCAAAAAAAAGTAATAAGTTGTAAAAAGCAAGAAAACTTCAGTGAAACCCTAATTCCTCCCTTCTATTCTCCTTCCTCCATGTTTGCAAATTCAGGTTTTCCAATTCCAGGTGTGGAAGAAGCACCTATAGAAAACACCTTTGTCAGATGAGTTAACACATGCTCAAGACCCTCAGGTGACCAGAAGGCACAGGGGAGATGTATGGCAGCTGGCAAGTTAAGTAAAACTGAAGTCTCATAGTATGAGAAGTACACAAAAAAAATAGTGTTGAGACAGCAGGACTCAACAACTCAACCAGAGGCTGAGTTAAAGAAGAACATGAGAAACTACTAAGTGCAATGGGCAATGCTACCAGAGGCATCTGCTGCAAAAGCTGACAGATGTTGCAGCCAGCACTGTGGATAAAGAATGGGTTTAATGGATGGCTAAGGGAGAGACAAGTAAGAGAGTCAAACTCCACAGGAACTGAAAAGCAGCACTGGTGACTTCTCAGAGAGAACAGTCTTGCCTAGTCTCAGTCAAGTCACCAGTCAGACTAATTGTATAACACCAAGATTACCTAAGGGGTCATGTCAAGAAAGACTATTTGTGTACAGCTGTGGCAAAGTGGGCCAAGGAGGTAAAAATAATCAGGAGCAGGTTGTCCTTCTGGGACAAGGTTGCACTAAGAAAGTGAGGTACAAGGATGGGGAACAGGAAACACAAGAATTGGGAAAGGGGAAATTGTGGTATGCGAGTTGTGTGCTCTGTGGTGTCTGGGGCTACCTATCAGGCAGCCTGAACCTCATAGTCAGAACAGGACAATTAGCTAGGACTTTTCTCACATCCATGTGTGAAAAAAAAAAAAAAAAAAAAAACCCCAGAGCAGGGTGAGTTGCCTTTGGCTATTAGGAAAACTGTGGACAGGGCTGATCAAGCAGCATGGTACTATCTGCTTGGTGTCCATTACTGATGGCAGTCCCAGAATGGGTATGCTGCAGTAGGAATCTTGATATAAAAGCTAATTCTAAATAAGAATTTATATTAAAGTATTTCTTAAATTATTATATGTAAAATATATGAAACAAAACATTTAATGTTCCCCAATAGGAATGTGGGGAAATCAGTTGTTAGGGAGAGCCTATCAGCCTCTGTAGGCACAGATTCAGAATCTTCTGTGAACGTAACATAGGTCAAATTTATCTATAACAGAGACCCTACCATCATAGACCATTGGATGTGATAGTTTGACAGTATTAAGGAGGGATACGGAATTGTAGTGATGATAACGATAAGGTAACTACAAAGCTCTCATAAGAAAACTTGCTCAGCTTACAGATGAGTTGCATGTATTACGTTGGACGCTGCTCTTTCACTTCAATCGTGGCTGCTATATTCACTTAGCTTTGGAATATATGTTTTAAGTGACATTTTAATTCGTCAAAAATGAAAGGTCTAAAACTTGAACTCTATTGAATGGGAAAACTTGTCATTTTCAATGAAAAGTGTGTAATGTATGAAGAGACTCTTACTTCTGTGCAGTGAGCACAGGAAGAAAACACAAGTCTCTTCACATATTTGCTTTTGAATACATTACAAAAAATAATTTTCTGTGATTTGAAATATAAATGCAAAATTTCAGGTCAAGGGAAAGCCTTAGCCAAATATGAAACATTTTAATAGTATTTATTCCACAGTTACAACTAATTTGCAAGGAAAGGATGAAGTGAAGGCCAGGTACACAGCTTCTGCATAGTAGATCTACCTGTTAGGTGAAGGATCAGCCTGCATCAGCTGTCACCAGAAGAGACTGAGAAGGAATTAGCAGAGAAAGCAATGACAGCAGTCAAGCATTCAACATATCACTCTGTGGTAGTAACTGGTCTGCTAAGAGCTAGAATTTGCCTGTCTGCCCCAAATTGCCTTGCTAACTCTGGAACATGCTGCACCAGCTGCTGTACCTGCTGCCTACACCACTGTGGGCAGTACTCAGCTGGGAACATACTATGTCCTGCAGCAGCTGTGATAAAGCCAGCTCTGATATCTGCTGATACCACCTGAAGATCCACACTACCACGAGCTGCTGAAATAGAGCTTGAAATCCTCAAGATTACTGCCTGAATGCTCACACAGATATTGAGCAGGATTTGTACCAGCTTTGCCTGGATAGTGCCTGCTTAGACATACAATTTTAGCAATCTCTTCCTACAGATTTTTGTGCAGGCATGTGACTGTGTGCAGATATGTTAGCATTGTGTGAGATGCTTCTACCAGTGGGAAACAGATACAGGGGCACTACCTAGAACTAATAAAGCTGTGAGTCTGCACAGTAATTGTCTTCACAAAACAAATATCCTAACAAAACAAATATCATAGTAGATGCATAAATGCACACACTATGCTTTTAAAGTAAATCTGCCCTATTTAAAAAAATAAAAACAGAAATAAAAATCTGAATCTCATTCAGTCACTCAGAAAACAATACTCTTATTCTATATATAAGATGATCCAGAACAATTTGCATTTGCAAAAGTAAAATAAAATAGCAAAATTACAAGTATCCAAATGGAACTTTGTCTCAGAGATAAATAAACAAGAGTCCTATTAATGATTTCTTTTTTTTTTTTTTCCTCAATTTTGCATGATATATGTCTTACAGGGTGTAACGTGATGAAAAGCACAAGTCAACAGAGCAACAAGGCCCCACTTCAAACGATGATGCACTCAGATGTGACAGCAGCAAACACAGAAATCAGAAAAACTTCTTACCTTCAGAAGGCCAGTAAGGTCCGCAGATGAGCAGATATCTCCATACAAGACACTCTTGC